AAAGTACCAGTCCGGTCCAGCAAGTACCACGGGGGGGACTGTGTGCACCATGGGCCAAGGATACAGGGCAGACCAACGCAGCGCAGAAGTATAAATCAAGAGGCTGCGTCCAGCCATTCATKSATTCCTGCGGATGCCATGCGGAAGCGCTGCCTCRGCAGCTTGTGCGAGGAGGTCTSCAGTGTGCCCGAAGACGAAGTGGGCAGAGAAGTGTAGTGTAGCSATAGGGTAGTGGCAGCTAGCGCTGCCATAGCCATAGCCTAGTGTGTGTGTGTTGTGTATGAACATTGAGTGTCGCGTGTGGGACATCCAGGGTGATCTCGAGTGTGAACAGTGAGTTGTATGGGCGCACAGTCGCCATAGCCAGTTGGAAGAGAACTCATATCTGGTTACGATATCTTTGGGTACTGTGTGGGCGCATGTCGCCAGTTCGCTGTATCGCTGTTTGCAAGCATGATGAAGTGTGAATAAGTCGAGTATGATTGCAAGGTGGCCAGATGGTGAACAGGATTTTACAAACCAGGAGCTGAGGCATTTTTTGATTTTTTTTCTTCTCTTTTTTCCCCACCCATTTTTCGGAGCGTTCCTTACGGCATAACTGTAACAAGAGCTGTTTTGTGAACCTCCACCCCCCGCCCCCCCCCTCCCCCCCCCTCGCATAGTCCTTCCTCGCTCCAAGCTCCTCCCTTGGGGCATTTATCTTTTTGTGTTTGGAACTTGAAGACCATATCCTCGCTCGCCCAACTTTATTTTTCCTCAATTCACTGGTAATCCAGCAGTTCCTTTTTCTCTTTCTCCAATAATCCAGCAGCTCCTTTCCACTACGTTTTTCTCTGACTTTTTTTTTTGTTTTGTTTTTTTTGTTTGGAAATTCTCTGACGTTTTCCCTAACAGGATCGGATGTTTCTTTTATACCTTTTCTATGTTTTCTTTTCTTTTCTTTTTCTCCTTTTTTTTTCTTTTTTTTTTTCTTTTTTTTCATTTCTTTTCTTTCCTTTCTGTTAGTTTTTTTTAACATCTACAGGGGGCCAAGTCCCACTCCCACTTACTTCATTGAGCTAGCTCAACAACCAGGCGCGACAAGGCTCGACCATGGTTGCGCGGCGCACCTCGGTGCGCGGATTTGCGCACCTGTTGTGCACCACGCGCAGCGCACCGAAGCGCACCGCACTGGAAAAATTAGGTCCAAAAAAAAAAAAAAAAAAGTAGGGGTTTTGTAATTTCTCAAGGCCCCCAACTCGGCAAAAATGTTCAACTCACCGTGCGATTTCAGAAACCGGTCGCGCCCCTGGCCCAAATTTTTTTTAGGGCAGGGCTGCAGAATTTTGATTTCCGCAGGCCCTTCCCCCAAAAGTTTCAAAATGGCCAATCATGAAAATAGCCTTTAAATAGGGGTCATTCCAACCTTTTTTTTTAGGCGGGGTGTGGAAACTGGCCTTCCCCCTCCCTTCTGCAAATCCCACACAGTGGTGGGGAAAACTCGTAAGAAGGGGGTAGTCGGCCAATAACGACCTGCCCCACAAAGCTTCGCAGAAGTTACAAGATGAGTTTTGTTTGCATGGTCAGCCGACCACCAATATATGCTGAAGATTGGCATTCAGGTCAGCATGTGGGCAGTTATGGTTTAGGAACTTAGGATGAAGATGCAGGTATCTCTCTCGTTTTTTTGTTTTTGTTTTCTTATGAATACGTACGGTGGGCCTGCTCCACTACTCACCATATGCACAAAAGACATAGCATATGGCGGTGAATGGTTCCATGTTTTAGCAGAAGATTCATTCTACTAATGTTATATACATTTGGTGAGTGGTGGAGGGAGGCCCTGATGATCACGTGGAGACACGAACAGCGTCTAGCTGAGTTGGTGASCCATAACTGCCGAGCTAGACATAGCATATGGCGGTGAATGCTTCCATGTTTTAGCAGAAGATTCATTCTACTAATGTTATATACATTTCGTGAGTGGTGGAGGGAGGCCCTGATGATCACGTGCAGACACGAATAGCGTCTAGCTGAGTTGGTGACCCATAACTGCCGAGCTACAACCGTGAACTCGAACCCACAGCATATATTGGTGGTCTGCTCCCACCTTTTCCATATATAACGTGGCTATCCTTTTCATCGAAGCAGTGGTCCTCAATGACTCCACGTGTATTGTAGGGGCCATTCGAGGTACCTGCGGGGGTCCTTGAATTGACGTGAAGGGCACCCTTTTGTCTCTCTCTCTCTCTCTCTCTCTCTCTCTCTCTCTCTCTCTCTCTCTCTCTCTCTCTCTCTCTGTGGGGCATGTTTTTTTGTTTGTTTTTTTTGCGCACAAGGCGCACCTCCCTCACCGCACGCACTGTGCACTGCGCACAGTGCGCGTGCTGTCATTCCAGCGCACAGCGCACTGTGCACCGGCCTGCACCGCACTGCGCACTGGTGCACCCCAACTATGTGCGTGACCCATGAGATCATTCGGCTACGGCTTCATCAAGCAGTTGCTTTCGCAGATAAAACAACACATGTTTTTCTTTTCCCATTTGTTTTTTTTAAGAGGACGAAAATCAAGGCCGTTCTCAAATAGAACGACCCCTACCCTGCCACTTTTTCGGTGAACTAGCTAACAGTGTCAGAGACCATGCTGCCGTTTGTGAAGATGAAAAA